CAAGAACGTCCCGCGCGCGGTTCCCATATCACCGATGCAGAAATTCAAATTCGCTGTCATTAATAAAAATTAAAGAGACATCAAGAGCTGGTCTACTAGACCGGGTCACCCGAACACGTCTCCTCGACCGTCTCCCGTACGTGTCGGTGCGTGTATATGTGCGTTTTTCGGGGTGCAGCCGCGCGTTGTTGTAGGGATCGACGGGGCTCACGGGCCGGCCACTTTTATCTTACCTGCCACGGCACAATAGCGTGAGACTATAGGCCCTTTGTTACACGGCATTCACGATGATCTGCATACGCGCCTCTACGGTACACAGCCTAGGGCGGCCACCCCGTGCTCCGCGTCGAAAAACTATATGTGGTTTTTTCATCCGAATCGGTTCCGGCAGAGCGCGGGCACCCGACGCCGATGCTCGCGTCTTCTTCGCCGGAAGCTGCACCCGACGCTGTTTTTTCTCCTGCCCTGATAGAACGGGTGCTAATTTTTTTTTCCTTAACCCTTTAACGGTGCACCCTCGCGGAAAACGGTACATTCTCGCGATGGATTCTTAGTCACGTCTCTCGGGGCACGGTCCTCTAAAAAAAAAGTCGCCGCCGCGATTTTCGTGCTGCCGGTCTTTTACTGTTAGTTCAAGACGTAATCGTAACGTGTTGGAAATATCTCAACGAAAAAAGTTAATAAACGTTTTTACTTCTCGCCACTTTCTGATTACATTAACTCTTTCAGAAATATATGAGTCTTAATATACTTCTACAATGATTGTTATAGACAACAATAATTATAATAATTATTTGTTGCAACGTACAAGAGATTTATGAATTTATATATACATATATGAAATATTTAAAGAAATAAAAAAAAGATGCGCAAAGTATGTCATATACGTTAGAGTGAGATACAAATATAATTTTATAATAAAACAGTCATACGGACAATGCAAACTCATTGCGGGCTCCGACATAAAGCGCGATGAAGGGCTAAGAATCGCAGAAAACTGTTTCCACGTGGATGAGCAAGGATATAAACGGCGAACGGGAACGAGGAGAGGATCGGTACGCCGAAAACTACGGGAAAAGGACGGCCATAATTCTATCCTAGGCCCAAATGTTGTGACACCGCCGCCAAAAAGGACTCGGCGTAAGGCTGATACGTGACTACCGCTATCTTCGTTTCTATTATATAACCGAATGCAATATCCTCCGTGTCGTAAAGGGGTGGTTTTCAAGGAACTAGCGTTTGCCATCGATGACGCGGCAAATGCAAACTTAACTGACGGTAAGAAGTTTTCTGTGAGAACACGAAAAACTTTTGTGACACATGACACACTTGTTTTTAGACATGTACCATTCAGAACCGTTATGTGTGTAACATATTGTTTTTCGATCATTTTCACATAATAAGAGAATTACGCCTACAAGTAATAAAATGAAACTAAAAAAGCATAACTTTAATCATGAATAACTAAATACGAATTTTTTTTAGTTAATAAATAAAATGTTGATAATAATATTAGATTACGATAATTCTCGATTATAAAAATAATAATGCTATTCAACAAAAAGACGATCAGAAAAAATTGCACAAGAATTATTTGAAGAAATATCTTCTTCTCTACACGCATAAAATCTATTGTACGCATATTCTACGTGAAAGGGTTGCTAAAATACAGATATAAAAAATTGCAACGGAATATCGTTATGCGATGACGCGATATAAATTGCCTCATAGTGAAACTTTTACCGTTTTATTGCGTTCATTCAATGCGAGGTGAACGTTAGTCCCGTCGTTCTTTTTTTTTTCTCGTCGCGGCACGTTGCCCCAGAAATTCATTAGCCAATCGGCGACACGGCTTCGTCATCCGGAGGCATTCTGCGCGCGCGGAGATAGAAAAAAAAATCTTATTTCGACACCGGCCCCTTAACGAACGGTGGTCCCGGTATATCGAGACAATAAACCGTGCCTTACTTCTCCCCGCTCTTTTTTTTGTCTCTCGCCGAACGGAGACAAAAATCCCGTTGCGCGCACGATTTGCATGCCGGCTGTCGTTGCCGCGCCGAAGGTGCACATGCAGAAAAAGCTGATCGAAGAAGTAAAAAAATGCCGGCAGGGGTTGCGGGAACCATTATTTTAATTTTCGTACTGCTACCGTGTCGAGGGGACGAAAATGACGAGAGAGAGGGAAAGAAAGAAAGAGCGAGGGAGACGGAGAAAGAGGACGACCGGGGGACTTTCGTCGGGCGGGGAGAGGGGGGGGGGGCAAAGGTGAAGGATAGTTACGAAGGAGGGAAAAGAAAGGGATGGATGAGTCCTTCTTTGCATAATCTTCGTCAGGGGTGGTGTTCCGCGCGCGAAGCCGAGGACACTCTCGCGCAAAGAACGATTCCAGTTGCTGTTCTCCGAAGGCGGGCGAGAGGGGCACCGTGAGCGCGCGGCCAAAGGTGTTTTGCATTTCGCCGAATAAAACGATGCGGGACCCGCCGGATGAGACGACGCGCCCCTTCTTCGCCGTGAAGAAATTACCCTAAAGAACGCCTCTAAGCGTTTTAAGGGATTATGGTCGGGCAGGCGTAAAAAAGCCCGGAAAAAGGGTTGACCACCCGCTGGGCAAAACCGACGACAGATTACAACCTCCGAAAACGTGTTACCGATTTCGCACATGACACGCAGGCATCGCGCTAACATATATTGCGCTAGCGTTTTCTTCTCACTCTTTTCCAACCTCGGCCGACGGTTGTCGGTGGCGTGGACACTTCTTCAAAGGGCTACGATCTTTTTGCAATGATTCCAATAACTATTAGCTCATTTCTATTATGAATATTGAGAATTCTCGACATTTTCATTAGAATCTAACGGTTAGACTACGACCGATCCATCCGTTGATGGTCACGAGTCGTTCACCGAGATAACGCGATCATCCCTTCGTGGAACGCCAAAGGGTTGCGGCTCTTCCTCGCCCGTATGCATCGTATATGCAGATTGGCCGATTGTCTTGTACGCTCATTCTTTTTCTTCTCTCCCAAACTATCGCCCCCTCCCCTTCCGAGAACTTTCACGAGAACGGCGTTCCGTGAGAATGCCAGAGACATTAGCATGCCGCGGATTATTTAAATCGTCCCCCCGTTGTCGTAGTTCCTTGTTTTTTCCCGGGGCCTCCGCGATAGGCCCACGGCGTGGGTCTCTCTCGGTGGGCACCCATAACCATAGACAAAAACCGGGTGGGCTCTCAATGGAAGGAGAGACAGAGAGAGAAGGAGGGACAAAGAAAGAGAGAGGATAAACGAGGCCTCGGGATAACTCTTCCGCGTGCTGCAGGTTCTACGACCGATAAAGAGCGTCCTCGAGATGTCTGCCGCTTCTATTCACATTCAAATCCGGTCCTTTTCGCACCGTACGAAGATAGAAGGCGCACCCTAATTTCTTGTCTTAGAAAAACAAACGAGTCCTCTGTGATCGAGGCTTCTCTATGATCTCGCTTCGGTAATGGGAGCGCAATTATAATAATGCTGCGAATGCAGACTGTGCATAGAGTGACATAATTGCAGACGACGATCTCACCGAATGATCAAAGCGCGGGAAAAATGGGGTACAACATTTTAGAGATTATGTGTAAGCTTGAAAGATATTAAAATTTAAAAATCTCTCTTTTTCTTTTTTACTATTTAAAAATCATACTCTGATATTACGACTCGTTAATCCTCCCTCATAAATCGCGCCACAAATGAACTGCCACCTGATTAACGCAAGAAAAACGCCGCGTAACCACCACTATCGATTCAAATGAGCAACTACTTTTTTCCGTTATTCGTTCTCCTCTCTCTCATTCATTCCCTTTCGCGCGAATGCGCATACACGGTTTTTTTCCCTCTTCCCCGAAAGTCTTTTTTCGCGCTTCCGTCTATTTGTTTTCTTTCCTTTCTCTCTCTCTCTCTCTCTTTTTTTTATCTCGAGATGGAACCCGACGAAAGAACACCGCTATGTAAAGCGATCTTCAACCCTTTTTGGCGCCCTTTTTCGCCGTCGTTTTTCGAGTCGTTTGTATCCCATCCTGCACTTCTCACCCCCGTCGTTTCCATTTCGATTTTACTACTTCATCCCTTCCCGACTCTTTCACACTCATTGTCTCTTCCTCTCTTGACGGTCTCCTCTAATCCAGTCTCGTCTAAATTATGCAGGATTCTCGTCGCAGGAGATAGCACGCGGAAGGGTGAGGGAAAAAAAACAAAATCAAAACAGGGGTAGCGTATTCTATTCCGCTGACACCGCGCATTTAAAAAAAGAAAAAAAACGAAATGTCGTACGGGGAATTTTTTTCTACTATTTCCGAAGCTTTGGTGCCGTTGCACCGCTGCGCATTTAACGGTGTCTTTCTTTCAACCATATTTAATTCAAGCAACGTTCCTTCTACTCTTCCTTATTTCCTTTTAGGTCTCAGTAACCGTCTCTTTCTATTGAATTTTTTTTCACGTCGATCTTTTTTGTCACGACTGCAGCTTTCGTCGAATCCGCGAGAAATACAGAGGTTACAGAAAAATAAATTCAAAACTTTGTAGTACTTGTCAGATGTTAATACGATTTTTTAAGAAAAAGTTAAAGTGGAAAAAAGTGAAAAAATTTTTTTCCCTTTTCCTCATTGTAGCTATATCCCTGTTATTAGTCAATTATATTTATAATTATATTTTTGAATGCGATCTTTTTGCGGTACATTTTCTAACATAGAAAAAATTTCCTATATATTTACTATTGATCGACATTGTTCGCAATAAATAAAAATGTTTGCTTTTATATTTTACTGAAACTACTATTTTTGTAAGAATTACTGAGATTGTTCTATTCGATTATCAGCCGAGCAACGTCATCATAAATGGAAATGCTTATCATTGATAATGATTTAAAAAATATCTAATATTAAATGAAATATAAGTTTGAAATCGTTAGTGGCATTCCGACGTGGGTTTCCAGCATGAGAAATCTAGTGGGTGCAACAAGAGCGTACTCACGTCACTGGAAAGGCCATTGTTCCACGGGTAAGGCGGTTGAGGTGGGGATTGTTGTTGATGGTGAACACTGACGCCAGTGGCTGAGTGCGGATTGTGAATGTGCTCCGCCATAACACTGACCCAATGGGCCAGTCCACCGCCACCGGTGGTCGCAGGACCCGTACCACCTGTTCCGGTCCCACCCGTTCCTCCGCCACCTCCACCGCCGCCGCCGCCTTCTTCGCCACCCTCCGACCATGCAAATGAGTTTTTCTGTAAAAAAAAAATAAAAACAGAAACATTAATTGGTGAAAAGTCTACTACATGAATTCGACATTATTCGAATAGCGCGATTAATTTTGGATCTCTTGTTCTTTTGTAACAATGATATTTATCAAACGATCAAGTCTATTTCTCACAAAATGTGAGCCAGTAAACTGAACGTATGTAAAACGTTTCAATTTTTTTATTTTGACGTTTTTCTACGTCTCGAATTATTTATATCAATAAATGACTTATTTCTGTGCTACACACATGAATATTCGAAATTGTAAAAATAATTAACTTTGAAAGGAAATTTTGCGTGTCACATTTCCAGAAATGTGAAACTGCTCCAAAGTATAATTAATTAGGCAAGTCGGCTGCTTCGATTTGATAGAAGATCCTAGACCGGAGAAATCTTCCATGCATATTATATATCCACAGTGATTATTAAACTCGTTCATTCTTGTCTGTGACCGGCGAGGCAATATTAGGTATTCATGATTGAGTGCGCGAGAAGAGTCAGCCCATTAATAAATTGATCGATGAATCGGCTAGCATTAAGTCGGAAAATATACTTGACGTCAAAATATCTAAACTCTCTCTCTCTCTCTTTATATGGAAACACATTTCTAACTTAAATTATAATTTCCACGATACTAAATTAAGCGCCGCCAAGTACGCGATATAAGTACAAAAATTTATGTATATTATTAAATTCAATTGTCTACTTCGTTGTAATTATAGGTCTTCATTATATACATATACGTATTTTCTTCCTTCATCTATTAATTCTTTAATATCAAGCTAATGTTTGTCAAGAGAATTGGAAGAAATGTTCATAATTTAGAATTTAAGCTCTTACGAACACATTAACAGGGCACACAGCGTATATAGATTATTCTACACGTGTATAACAGCCAACAGGCACACATTTGTAAATTCGAGGGTAATTATACCGATCTCTTGCGGCGCTATCGACCGCAAGAGACGTCGTAAGAAATTCATAGCCCCAGACAAAGAAGAGAAAACATACGTCAGGCGATAGCCAATCGATACGTCGTCGAATGCAGGAGCGATGAGCAGCACGGCGGTTATAAAAGTAGATGCAACTGGAATCATCTTTTGCTACTGCTCTCGCGATTTTAATCCGCGATATCGGCTCCGAATTATCCGTTTCCGTTCGAACGGAAAATTTCGTATCATCGAATAAAATATTGCGTTGAAATCCAGTAATATTCATTAGCACCCGTTTTCCCATATATTAAATATGTGTAATCTCTCTTACAAGAGTACGAATGCCGTCCCGCTTGTCCTCGACGGATTAAAAGCGAGAATTTCTTGTAAAATATTTTTAAAATTCAATTACAATCGACTTTAAAGCAGCATTCGAGTTTTCGAGTAAGCAAAATACCCTCGGATATAAGCATATATACCTTCAGTCTTTTTTAATATTTATTACGACGTTCTACATTACATCTCCGTGTTCTGCTTAACGTTCTCCGTCTCTTTCCCTCCTTTTAAATCTCCAATAAAATATACATATTCATACTTTTTAAATGACCTCGGAATAATCGGGTTTTAATCCTACCGTCTCTCTTTTCTCGCGAAGTGAAATCTCGGCTCTCCGTGGCATAGCAAACTAATCGGGGTAAATCATTAATTAAGGGGGACTTTGGGATTGAAGTCGTTAATTGTTCGCGCAGCGGGTGCATCGTGAGAAAAACGTGTTACGAATCGCAAGCGTGATTATTAGTTTCTCGAATAGCCATCCCCCCCCAGAGCTTACCAGGGGTGTTATTTCTTAAGGGAGTCTCAAAGGGGAATGATGCGTTTCATTATTGTGACTAACTTAATTACACGTTTTCGGGCACGCAATACGAGGCCCGTGAAATTTTTCTCTCTTATAGGCCAAATATAAGCCCTCCAAATATCGTAAAATCCAGTTTGAGAGCTAGTTAATTTATGATTGGTTGACTGACAAAAAGTTTAGTGATCGATAGTATAAACGCGATAAAAACGATAATAAATGCGTTCGTTATCATTTTATCGTTGTGCCGTAAACCGAAAAAGTTTGGCTTTAGTTCACTTTTCCATACTGTTACAACAGTCAATTAAATCAACGAAATTTCTTTTCGTAATAATGAAAAGAATTTATACATTATGAGATTAGCCATCACAATAAAAAGCTACAATCCATAATGGAAATTCGTTGTCGTAAATAAATTGAGCGATTAAATAAAGAATTGATTCTCATGAAGGGTATTGCGAAACCGATAAACTCTGTACAATTGAAACGAAACAAGCACGCAGGTGCATGTTTATGGATTTAGGTCAGGAATCGCCGTAGCTTCGATTCTAAAGCGAGCCAAAACCATAATCGTGCCAAGAAAAGTTCCTCCACGGTTGCAACTCGGGCAAAAGCAAAAGGAAGCAACAGGAAATAGCCGATGGCGCGCTACTATTGCAGCAAATTAATAAATTATAACATAAATTATAACAGAAAAAAGTTCAAGTATTAATCAAGATACACCTTTAAAAAAATAATTAAATTTATATCTTTAAATTAACGAAGATATAAACAACCATTTGCAAATTATGTATTAGCCCTTAAACGCGAAGAAATAATAAATAACAATTACTGTTAATGATATTAAATGCTTAGTTAGTCGTTAAATAAAAAATTCATTTAACTAAGTCGCTTTAATCTCACATAGCCATTCTAACTTATTTCACTGGGTCGCCAAAAATTAAACGCTTCAATTAAACGTTTTTCTCTCTTGCGCACCGATCTCTTTTCCGGTCTTATCGCGTAAACAATCCGAACAAAATTAGCGATTATAAAACCATCGTAATCGGAAATCAAGGTAAACAATTCAGATGGAACACATCATCAAACCAATCGAGCCAAAACATATATCGGGGGAACTATCAAGAACACGGAGCATTATATGAACACACGAAATCTCGACTCGGCCTCGTGTTTTATGACCTCGTTACGCGAAAACTCGCCGCCGCTAACTATGCTCTAACTTTTTAACTGACAACTTATACCGGCGACAAGCGCCAGCCACGTTAGAACGCACTTATCTCGCAAACAGTTTCGCCGACCTGTCAACCGGCCTTTAACTCTTCACTAACTATCCTCACGATCCTTAGCGACATAGCGTCTACGTCCTCTCACTTGATACTTGGCGCTCCTCCACTTCCGCTTATATGCTCCTAATATACCGTGAGTACTATGCCCACGTGACGTTCGTTAAACCGCGCGCGTTGCAGTAACCTTTCAAGGAAAGCTCCAACGCTATTTTCCGTTCTAACGAATGACATTTTATCACTCAAGGCATATTTAGAAATAAAAGCAAGCACAAATATATCAACAAAGAATTATTGAATTATGTCTGAATTCATCACTTCGCTTTACCCTCCCCCACATGATATAACGTCTTCATTTTTTAATAAATCTAAATATGTATAAAATGGGGAAACTAATAATTTACATAGCACAACGCCAGCTGTCGTAAAAAGAAAAAAAAACTTTATGCTGCCAATGCAGCAGTAACAGAAATTTAACAACAGACAATACAACAACAATATAAAAAGATATTTTTCAGCGGATCGAGTCTAACCTCATCGTGATCTTCCCGATGAAGCGCTAAGTTTCTCGGAAAGGCGGGTACGCTGCTGACGGTCAAGCCCTTCAAGTCCTTTAACTCCTTCAGTGCACCGAGCGCGTTTAAGTTGTCCTTCAGGGATGCTAGATTGAAGTTAATCCCCTGCTCTTTGAAATTGAGATGCCTATTGAGCACGGTTTTGCCTAGCGCGCTCGCCAGCAGGCTGCTGTACAGCTCGTTGCGTAGGATAAACTTTCTTTCAGCACTGCTATCGTCCTTGATCGACACGTCGTTAGAGGAATCCGAGTCCACCTCGACGGAAGAGTTCGAGACGACACTCATCGTGGACATTTTAGCCGTTCTCGTTACACTGTGTTTCGACGCAGTGAAAAATATCTTTCTGGCCTCTCGAGAAATGCACGAAAAGTAGCCCGTTTTCTTTGGTCTCCTGCGAATCTCGCTTTTCGCCTCCCTTTATTTCAACGAAGGTAAGTTTCAAAATCGTAAGGACCTAGTAAAATACCTGTACATGTGTTCCTTGTATATGTATATAGGAATATATAATTAAATAGGTTCTTAAATTGTGTATATATATATATATTTATTTATTTGTTTGTTTGTTTATATATATATATTCCGTAATCCTTCTATTAATTTTATTTAGTTACTTCGTACTCGATTAAGAGGATAAAAACACCGCGCGGCGCGCGCGGTCTGTGAAATTGCTTCAAGAGCCCACGTGGCACATTAATGTACGATTAAAAACTGCTTAAAGAGCTGCAAGGTCGGCTTCCGAAGTCGAGCGTGTCCATCCGCAGGTTCCATGCTGTCTCCAAAAAAAAAAAAGAAGGATAGATTTCCTTCCGCGCACCGTGGCTCTGTGCGCGCGGGGCAGGATACAGGGGTAAACGTGTCTCGTCTTCGTACGCGCCTCGAGCCTCCTGGTTTTTTTTCTTTTTTATTGCCTGTTGGCGTAATCGGACGCCATAAGACACAAGTACGTTGCTTATTTATTCCACCTTCTCCCTCTCTCGTCTTGGCAGAGAAGGCGCTCTTCGCTGTTGTACAATTAACCCCTAGCGGTTATTTATTATACTATCACTATGATTGTTAGCGGACTAGTATCGAGGACTAAAGCGCGCTCCTTATCCTCCACCTGCTCTCTCCACCCGCCTTCGATCACACTCTCGTAATCTCTCGTCGTAATCCCGGTCGTAATCAATACGGCCGAGGAGGAGGTTTTCGTTTCCTTAGTGTATCTAAATTTATATTATTAGTGCGCGCCGTGTGCTTCATGACCGGCGCGAATTCGAAGGAAAAAGGACCGCGTTGCATTTAGGAACTTTTGCGCGCGCAGCTCATTACGCATGGCCGCGAGCTTTCTAATTGGCTGGTTAA